GGCTACACGCAGAGTCTTTTCGACTTGCATTAAAAGGTAATTCTTTACTTGTCCCAACAAACTACCACCCAGAGTTGGTCTGTTTTCTTGAATAGGATCCAACATATATTTGTACCAACCGGAGAAAGTTATCCATTGCCTGTGCGAATGGAGGTCGAGCATGCCATATCAATTGGACCAAAAAATCAGGCGCCATCACCATCTGGTCATAAATGCATTGACAGTCGCTGATACCATTGTGTGGGAAGTGGTGGGCTATGATTATCCTATTATATAAATATATGTGAACTGAAAGCCTTGGATGACTGACGCGATAATTGAGATAATCTTCAAGCAACACTTTTCAGTTATAGTGGTTTCACTTAATTCCAATTCCAATTATGTGTATTCCTCCATTTTGGCGAAGAAAGTGTTCCTGCTGAATCAAAGTTTAGCAAGCACTTGAAGCTTTTTTTGCATTTGATATGAAGAAACTGAGAACTGAGCACGAGTCAAATAGAAAGTTAGTTAACTTAGCAATAATATTACTTATTAAATAAAAATGCTTGTATTCTTATAGCTTATGCAATTAAGAATGAAAAGACAAGCCATTAACAAAATAGAATACTTTCAAGGTTTACTCACAATTCATTTTCGAGCTACAAGAGGTGAAAATATTTGTGGGTATAAAATAAATTACATTACGCGATGGATTTTATTTGTATGGCCTATCACTATTTGTTTCAAGTGTTGAATTTTGGTCATGGTTTTTGTCAAGATTCCCCAGTCTCGGTAGCAAAATGAATTTGGTTTTCTATCGAGCAATAAATAAACACAAATCCCATAATCTTTTAAGATATGGCACATTTTAAATGGCAAATTGCATTGCAGAACTAATATGACAGAATGATACAATATTGTCAAATGGGGGTAGTTAACTCTGGCAAGAATCTCAGAATGAACTACCGTATTTTGCCGTGTATATGAAACACCCCTGGATGGATTTTTTTGGACTTAAAAAATAGGATATGTATACAATTAATTTTAATCAATAAAATTTTGATCAGTTCGGCAAAAAAAATCCGGCACAAAAAATGAAAAAAGCAAAATGTAAAAAATTCGAGAAAAATGCCTAAACCTAGTTGGTACACTAATAAAAAATGTCGAGAAGGCAATTTTACATATGATCTTGACGCCAGCTCTAGCCCCAATCCTAACCCTAACCTTTAAAATAACCTTTAACAATAACCTCTATTCCCGTAGAATTTTTCCGGACATACACAAATAACACATGACCATTAGATATTTGTATTAACAAACCCTTAAATATAGAATGCGTAAAATAAGCAATATACATTTACTAAAGTGGAAATTTGCGAAAATCTAATTATTATTTAATTTGTAGATAGATTTTAGAAGTTTGGGATGATATACCTATAGTAATGATTAGTAATAGTTTTAAAAAATGTAAAATTATCGAAGATATAAATAATTAAATTTTTTAAAGCTTAAAGAATTTACGTAATATTATAATATAGAGTGTGATCATGTGTTATTTTTTGGAGAGGGTAGAAAATATATCCAAGGATGTTGTTTATACACGGCAAATACGGCAACAGCTATTTAATGAATTTCTGGTACATGTAATTTCAGTTAATAGAATTCACTTTTTCAATTACCATGTTTGAGTCATTGTCATCTTCTGTTTAAAGATTAAGATAACGAAGCAAAAATCAATAGAAAACAATTTGCTTATTCTTCAGATTTATCGTTTTATAGGCATTCTTATCTTGATTTTTCTTTATCTATTTTGTGATTTTGAAGAAAAGTATATTTGAATGAATCATTCACAATACTATGTATTTTTTACACGTATTTTATACTATGGTCTTTAAAGCACTAAAATCGTATAAGCCTAAGAAACTGCTAATATTTTCTTATACATAAACAATATGTAAACAAATATCTTTTAGTTTTAAATCTCAAATCTTTTAAAGTTTTTTTAATTTACCTTAATAGTATAAAAAGCTTTCTTGAATTACAAGATCTGATTATTAACATCTCAGCATTATCTAAAAAATTAAATATAGTGAGCTAATTTTAAAGTAAAGTTGATCGAAATTTTTATTATTGTAGTTTCGAAAAAAAGTATCAATTACCAACTAACAATTTAACATTGTATAGTTATTTGTTTTCTTCTGAGTAATTGCGAGTTTTAATGTGGATTATATATAAGAATGTGTGTTAATGCTTCTTTAATTAATGTTGGATATCTATAAAACTTAATAAGTTATAATAATAAAATTTCTACGAAAAAGAGCCGTGCAAATAAAGAAATCTGCAAGTGAGCTTAAAAATGTTGTGCTCCGAAAAACGAACCGAACACTGAAATTATATCTACATGTATATAGTCTATCCTCTAAAGTCACATTTTTTAAAATAATTCGTCAGCTATCCTATATATCAGAAACTATTTTGCCAGCTATCCTATAAATCAGAATCTATTTTGCCACAATAATTTGTTTTAACAGAGAAAGTTATTGGAGCATTGATTTCCAAGATGAGCAAATTTCTTAAAGTTTGTTTTCAGAAAGTTGTTGAATACGTAGTCATAAAATAATAAATTTGTGGAATATAAAATAGGCACCAATTCCAAGGGATATTGTCAAGTTTTTTATTTTAAATATTATTCCATGAAGGATTGCTTAGTTATTTATATATTATACTATTTAATATATAGAATTGCAGATGCTTACTTCATATTAAATTATGCTATAGGATAGGCTATTAGTTATAATCCAGTTATGAGAATAGATATTTTAAAAGTTGGGCTTGCAAACCAGTGTGAGCCGTCCTTTATTTATAACCTACAGTTTTATATAAAAAAGTGGTTCATACGTATACGCACATGTACTGTGTACAGTATTTGACGTTCATACTGAACATTAGTGTACGACAAACATTAACAACGTTAATACATTAACTGTAATATTATACATGTATTAACATTAACGTTAACAACGCAGCAGTACATTACTTATTATCTACCATCTCATATAAACTCAATCAAGCTTGTTTGATTTTATGTGCTATCGCTATAAATAAAAACGATCAAAAGTTACAACAATTAGACTTTTAATATAAAATATGGTGTAAATTTAAAAAAATGATAATGCGCACGATTGAGTTTCTCTGGAGGGGAAAGATAATTAAATTCGATGCAATATATTTTGAAAAAATCGGTAAAAATGTAAAATCAAAAAAAATAATATTAACATATTTTGAATGTAAAATATAAACTGCATGTATTGAATAATTCTGTGTGTATCAAAAAAAGAAAGATGTGTCACGTGTGCTTATTGAATATACATGTACTTTCACCCACAATCGATTATTCTTTCTTGGCCCGATTTTCCCACGTGCTATTTGTCCACATGAGTGTATGGATTTTATCGAATATTGCTTATTTAAAAATGCCGATTAATTGTTGAGATAGAAGTTTTTTTGCCGAATTTTGCATGGCATAGTTTGCATAACGAGCCATCATCTATGCACTCAAGGTAGTCGCGAACTGGCGCTCTTCTTGTTTTTCTTATATCGTGTGGCAAATTTGTTAAAGCCGAACCTTCGATGGACATTTTTTATCAATTATTTATGAAAATAAAGGTGAATTTGTTTTTTAAAAAATTCTTAAATTATGTCTTACAGTGATCCGGTCCTGGATCAATCAGTCCTGTCCTGGATCGATCCCGTCCTAAATCAATCCTATGGATGGACCATCACCCTATAAGCTCGGACTGAGCCTTCAACATCGTTATGCTTTAGAGATGTATTGGTGGGAATGGGGTTGGACCTTTGGTAGAAGTTGATAACAATCTCAATTCTGACGGTTATATTAATATTCTTTCCGAATATCTGGTTCCTTGGATGAATGAACATTCTTATACAAGCTGGTGCTTCCTGTCGTACTTCGCATTATAGTTGTTGGTGGATGCAAACACAGTATTTCAGTTTTAGAATGGGCTGCCCAAAGTCCCGATTTAAACACAATTGAGCGTATATGGGATCAATTAGATCGTCAAATTAGAAAGAGAACCTCTTCCGAAATCCAAAAAGGGTTTAATTGATGCATTAAGGAAGAATGGCAAAAGGTGCCTTTGGATATTGTACGCAATTTAATTTCCAGTATGCCGAAACGAGTTGCTGCTGTTATTAAAGCTAAAGGATCACCATTAAATAATTAATATTTGTTAGACGAATATTATTGTATAAATTTTTAAATAAAAACTATAGATACATTTTAAAATTGAAAATTCGCTAATAATGCACGGTGATTTATCAGTGAACATGTATCAAGATCAAGTATATACAATATATACAATCACACCTTTTCCAGATTCAAGCTATAGAATTGTCAATATCAGCTTATGATAAATCCAATTACTTTTATATAGATATTTCTATAATGGAGCAATCGATTTAGAAAGTGGTCTTCGAATAAACATTAATTGCGACGAAGAATTTGGCATGATTCTTTTATAAAATTTGTATTAGTCGCTTGTATAATCTAGCGTATGTTTTCAGTCATCCGATTTCTCACTTTGCCTTCATACAATTGCTCAAGCGAATCTAAAAAACTAAAATCGAAATATTGCTGCCAATAGGATAATGGATAATAAATGAACTAATCATTTTGAAACAAAAACAATTGAGGTTTTTGAAGATGGGAAACAGAAAGAACAACTTAATCTACTCCATAGTTATACAGTAGTCATTATGGCTTCTTTTTCAAAGGACATAATTTCGTATTCTTTTGATTTTTTCAACATAAATCTCTAGCTTCTTTATAAGCTACGTTAAATCTTCTGTAAACTATAATTATATTTAAATAAAAGACGAGTTCAATTAAGAAAATCGATGGATTTATTTAAATACACGCATATATATATGCTAGACAAGATTTGAAGAACCACTATTTGTGTTTTAGAATAGAAGTACATGTATAGCGATGACGCTTTGTTTCACATGATCTTCGATACTTGAAATACTTCATAATCATCTACTTTGAAATGATGTGTATTATTTACTACTAATGGGGCTGTGTTGAAATGTGTATTATCCGGACAAATGTCATCCAATAAATCTTGATTTTGATAGTTACAACATTTATACCAGCTCAAGGAATTTTGGTTACATTTGTCACTGATAAATAAATCACAATGAAAATAAGGACCATGAACTGTTGTAACCGGTCTTGTAGATCCGTTTTGAGTGTTGCGTGAAAATTTTGCACCTTTAATATCTTTTCCATCGTTGAAGGAAAAAATAAATGCATCAGACGCATTAGCATTAATAACCGAGCGCCAACCATACGCTGATTCTGTTATTGCCGTCGGCATAGTAACCGTGGTGTTTTCGTCCCAATTGTTAGGGTTGTAGCCGCCAATAATTTTTCCTGTTTGATTTATCTTCACAAATACTACAGTGTTATATTGAGAACCACAGAGTTGTCGGAAGCTCGTAGCTTCAAATCCATCTCGACTGCCACGATAAAGAAGTTTGAATATATACTGAGGCTCACCATATTTATTAGAACTGATATCTTTATCATTGATTCTAGATGAAATCAGCTTTATGTGTTTCATATTAATGAGATTAGAGTCAATGAAGCCTGATCGAGGAGGTTGTAGTTTGGCGTATTGTTGAGTCAAGTTTTTAAGATAATAACCCAAAGTTTCCATCTTCATACCTTTTGGAAGAATTTTTCGATAAATAATTACTTTTTCAAAGTAATCACTGCTAGAGATAGCACTATATCGGATCAATGGAATGCATTGATGGAGTGTTTTTTCGAGAGC